TCCAGTATCACCCAGCCAGGCCTGAGAGTGGGGAGGCAATGTTACCTATTCATAAGCCACAAATCCAGAAGCAATATTTGAGGTCATCTTCATGCAATCTCCCACTCAATCTGGAGGCCTCACTCTAGCATCTCAACAGGTGTCCATCCAGGTTCTACGTGAATACTTCCAAAGATGGGGAGCTCACCACCACAAATCTGAGGACGGTAGCCATGGCGTAGGTAGTAAACTCTGAGAGTTAAACTCAACAGGCATTACATGACCTGGATCATGTTAAAATCATGGTTAGACAAAACCAGAAGGCCTTTTTTTTCCTACAGGAGTTTAACCAGCTCTGTACCACAGCCATTGTAGCGGAGGGGGAAACCCCACAGAGTTCTGAATCAGAAATCCTATTCTGGTCTTGACTCTACAGTTTACCAGCTGAGTGGCTTGGCCAAATATTTCTGCTTCCCTGAGCTTTATTTTCCTTATCCGTAGCTCAGAACGGCGCTTGTCCAATATGGTAGCAGTCACTAGCTACTGAGCACTTGAAATGTGGCTAGTGCAGCTGAGAAACAACTTATAATTTCATTTAATTAATTTAAATTTAAAACCCAAGCATTGTAAAAATTCTTATATTGATTATACGTTGAAATGATAGTATCTTGGATATACTTGTTTAAATAAAGTATATTATTAAAATATGCTTTATTCTAATTTCACCTGTTCCTTTTTACTGTTTTAATGTGACTACTGAAAATTTAGAATTTCAAATGTGGCTCACATTATAATTCTGTTGGGTAGCACTGACTTGGAAGGTTGTTTATGGATCAAATGAGGTGGACGTTCAGGTGTAAAGCTGAACAGTAAAGCTCCAAACAAATTATGGTTTCTGTGGCTGCCTGGTACTTGAGGGTTGTGGTTCCCGTCACACAAGGAAGACATGCTTATCCTAGAAATAACAGAGAACATGGAGAAATATTAAAAATAAAAAAATTGCCCGTAACTCCACCATCCAAAGGACACCTCCTGTTAAACTTTCTAGGGATTTCTTTTCTGTCCATGTCCATGTAACCTAATGCTCCCCCACCACCAAGTACCCTGCCCTAGCTTGCTGGTTCTCAGAAAGTTTACTTTAACTGCTTGACCCTAAAGGCTCATGCCACAAGAAGCCCCCACCAGCCAGATGGCCACATGATGGGACCTCAGACCTCCTTTCTTGTAACTGTGGATTTTGGGGGTGGGGCTGGCTGAAAGGAATCCATGCCTCCTGCCCTCCCTGTCCTTAGCTCTTATTCTTGGCCTCTGCGATGGCCTACTGGTCACTCTGACACTGCCTGGGTGGGGCGGTCTGCTCTGTCACCTATTGCTTGCCATTCTCTCCCCATCTCTGCTGCTCACCAACAGGAAAACCCTTCCCGTTACTGAGGGGGCTGGGGTCCAGAGCAGAACCCAGGTGGTGAAATTCTTTCCATTCATCAGCACTCTCCTTTACAGAGCCATGGGTTGCTCCAGGGGCTGAATCAGGATAGGGCCAGGGGCCCTCTCTTGCCATGTTAAGACCCGTGGTCCCTCCCTTCCCCCCTGAGTCAGCACCAGCCCTGTGTTGGACCTCTCCCACAGGAGGCCTTCTTCATTAACACCCCTCTTCTGCACAATCCCTCAAACACTCTACGTCTGGACCACGAATTGGGAGAGATCTCCTTCCCATGAGGTTCCAGGGCTCCCTGCAGAGCTACAAATTATCTTATAATTTGCTTTTTCTGCTTAACACAGGGCTGGATTCCCCAATAAACAAAGTACACATGGGCTGATTTGTATTTACTAATCTGTAGTGAATATGGGTTTCACCACACAATGTGAAATCGTTCACTACAGATTAGTTAGTAAACACAAGGAAGCCCGTGCATACCTTGCTTAATGTAAGCCAATGCATACCTGGAGCCCTGGTAGCACAGTGGTTAAGGGCTACAGCTGCTAACTAAAAGGTTGGCAGTCCGAATCCACCAGCCGCTCCTTGGAAACCCTATGGGGCAGTTCTACTCTGTCCTGTAGAGTCGCCATGAGTCGGAATCCACTCAGTGGTAATGGGTTTGGTTTGGTTTTTGGTATGCATACCTTACTTACTGGTTAATCTGCCTCTGACTTAATGTCAGGCTGGGAACGTCTTTCCCATGGCTACTTAGAACCCCATCACATAGACCCCATAGTAACTTTTTACCTAATCCACATCGATGACTTCTTAGGTTGTTTCCAGGTTTTTGCTCTTACAAACACTGCATCCATGACCCTCCTGGTAAACTTTGTTCCCACCCTGTACACTTGAGGAATTCTTAGCTCTCCCTTCCCAGACGTCCAGCAAATTCTGCTAGATGAGTTGTGCTGAAGCACCTCAAGAACCCTGTCCCCTCCTCCCCTCAGTGTCTCCTCAGTGGCCCTGAGCCTGGCGTTCAAGGCCACCCCCGTCTTGAGCTCAGTCTATGTTCTCTGTCCCATCTATCATTGCTCCTCAAATATGACCTGAGCTCTGACCACATTAAACAGCCCAGTGTTCTCCAACTTTCCAGTCTCCTGGCCTCCCCAGTTGCTTCTGCTGTCCCCCTGCCTAGCATATCCACTCTATTTCCTAATCTTCCAGGAACTAACTCAAATGCCATCTCCTCCAGGAAGCCCTCCCTAACTCTCCTAGCTAAAGTGATCCCTCCCTTCCTTATGGTACTGATGGGTCTACCTTGTCCAGTGTTTTCTTGGTGCCCATTATGTCCAAAGTGTTATATCTGTCTCTAAGGGTGGATTATCCAATGGTCAAGGTAAATACGATGCTTACCTTGCTTACCAGATCATTTGTAGTGAACAATTTCACGTTTTTCACCACATCAAAGATTCTGCTTCTAGCTATGGCTGACATCTGCCTCTCTCCCAACCCCACAGCACCTTCCTACAGAATCAAAGCCTCTTTTCAAATTTGCAGTCCCTGACAGGGACAGATGAGCCAATAAGCCAGGTAAGCACGGGCTTACTTGTGCTTACTAATCATAGTGAACAATTTCGCATGGGTTTCGCCACATGATGGGACAGATAATCTGCCCCTGTCTGTCTCCCTCCCCACCCCCTGCCAGACCAGGGACTCCTGAGGTCAGAGACAATTCTGATTTCTTTCTGTGGGCACAGGGCATGGCACAAGTGGGTATGCTCTAAAGGTTTGAATAAAGACATGGATGAAAGAGGGCAGGACTGGGGTCAGGGCCTGAGTTCTGGTCTGAATGGTCACTAGTGTTCTGTGTGACCTCAGGCAGGTCCACTCCCACCCTCAGGGCCATGGCTTCCCTGTGGCCAAGATGGTAGGACTTGACTGTGGGGAACTCTTCTGTGGTCAGAGGAATGCTTGGATCTGGTCTGGGGTAATCTGTCTCATGAATAATGATTCCAGTGTGCCCCTCCCCAGGCTGAGCAATCCCATTATGAGCCCTTCAGGATTTATGTCCAAGACCCACCCTAAGCCCGTCACTAACATATGGCGTCCTGGCAGATGAGGGTGAGTGGAGATTGTAAACATGGACTCCAGTCATTCACTCCTTCGTTCAGCAGTGTTACCAAGCTGTGCTCTGAGCCAGCTCTGAACCCAGCATTGACTCAGACCCAGGGCCAGTCCTGGAGACACTTCAGGAAGCAATCAGCAACTCAGCGAGGCGGGCGCTGGGGCAGAGGGAAGCTCGGGGGTGTGGGAGCTCAGAGAAGGGGCCGTCACCAGCCTGGGGGGCAGGGAAGGCTTCCTGGCGGAGGGAGCCCTTAAGCTGTGTCTTAGCGGAAGAGCACGCCTCTGCAGCAGCCAGCAGAGAAGAGAAGGACACTGGCAGCAGCACTTACAGCCTGGGATGGGGAGGCCTCTGTGCTCAGCCCCGATGCTGGAGGCTGCCTGCCTTCACGTAGCCTGTTGATAAAAGGAGCTTGCAGGATGGATTATCCACTCTTGTTTACATGATTAAAACCAGACAAATACTTCCTTTATCTGAGAGAGTGAAAGGGCTTTAGGGAAAAATCCTTTTGGCAGCAAAGCAAAGCACAAGCATTCCCTTAATTAATGTTTCACCCACCCACCCCCAACAGCCATAGAACAGTGGCCTTGGGGCTGGGAGGGAGGTTAAGGGGAGGGAAGGAGGAGCCCAGGTCAGGGTAGCCAAGGATGGGGAGCAGCTGAGAGGAGAGAGATTCACAAGCCCCCTCAACACAACCTCCTAGGAGTCAGCCAGACACTAACCCAAGATGGCCACAGGGTGGCACCTCTCAGAGAAAATCTCACCGTGATCCCATTTCATAAACAGGGATTCTGAGACCAAAGATGTGGGAGTGACTTGCTTGTCCAAGGTCACGTAGCCAGTTGACAGAGCTAGGGCTAGGTCCCAGGCCATCAGCTCCCAGCCCAGTGCTCTGACTGACTCACTCACTCACTCATTCATTCATTCAGCAAGCCTGCAGTGAGCCCCTGCTCAGGGTCCGCCCATGCTGGGCACTGGGGATCCACAGAGAAGTCAGGCCTGTGCCACCCCTCATGTGCCTTCAGTCTGGTGAGAGAGACAGACAGGCAAACAGACAAGGGCAACCAGGGTCACGACAGAGGAGGCCGGGGACTGTGGGGGCCCAGGAGTGGGTTCTTATTCTGGGAGAGAGGCCCAGAGTCCAAAAAAGTCTTCACTGAAGAGGTGACTTTGAGCTTGGTCTTGCCTAGTGAGAAGGAGTTAGGCCAGTGAAGAAAGGCTGGTAAGAGGACACCAGCACGTGCAAAGGCCTAGAGGTGTGAAACTGCTGGTCTTGTGACTGGGGGTGAGGGAGAGCCAGCTGAGAGAGAGGCTGAAGGAGCTATGAGGACTGGATTACTGGGGGAAGGGGGTTCCCATGCTTGTGTGTTCCCTGGGGTACTACGAGGGTGCTGGGCACAGCCAGGAGAAAGCGTATGAGAGAGTGGGCTGGGCATAGGGCCTCCCCACACCCAAGACCCTGACCCACATCTACTCTCCCAGCTTGATGTCTGGCCTTGCCTCCCTGGATGCCAAGACCTCCAGCCGCCTGGGTATCCTCACCGTGGCCTACTACTTGTGGACCACCTTTGTGGCAGTCATTGTGGGCATCATCATGGTCACTGTCATCCACCCGGGCGGTGCTGCCCAGAAGGAGACCACGGAGCAGAGTGGGAAGCCCATCATGAGCTCGGCCGATGCCCTGCTGGACCTCATCCGGTAACCCTCACCACCAGCACCCTGCTTGGGGTGCCATGCCTGGGCCAGGACCCCCAGAGACCCGAATGTGGCTTCCCAAGGAAAGGATAGGGTGTGGAGATGGGGGTGGGGGGTCAGAGCCTACCCTTGATCACGTGTGGTAACAAGGGTGGCAGCAACAGGGCATTCAGAGACCATGATCGCCCTGGTGGATTGACGCCGATGGCAAATGTTTACTGAGCACCAACTCTGCACGCGCTGCCCCCGCTGTCTCTCACCCTGCATGGTCTGCCCACCAGGCTGCCCACCTTCTCTGGGTGCCCAGCCCAGCACACCACCTGGCCCAGAGCAGGCAACAGGGAGTGTGTGCTGACTGACTGGCCGATTCCCTGATCTCACCCGGGCCACACCCAGCTTCTATTGTGGAAGAGCAGCAATTATTGCCCCCTCCCCTTTTTTATTAGTCCCTTTTAACAGATAAGGTCCTTGGGTGGTGCAAACAGTTTGCACTCAACTACTGACCTAAAGGTTGGAGGTTTGAACCCACCCAGCAGTGCTGCGGAAGAAAAGTCTGGCACTTTGCTTCTGTAAAGATTTTTTTAAAAACCACAAAATCCAAACCCATTGCCATTGAGTTGACTCTGACCCATGGTGACCCCATGAGTAATCCGTGAAGATTACAGCCAAGAAAACCCAACAGAGCAGTTGTACTCTGTAACACATGGAGTTGCCATGAGTCAGAACCAACTGAAGGCAACAAGCTTGTTTCTTCTGGTTTTTTGTTTTTTTTTTTTTAAATACATACGGGAGTGAGGCTCAAAGAGGTGAAATGACTTTTGTAGGGCCATTCAGCAAGTAAGTAGTGGAGCCAGGATTCAACCCAAGTCTGTGTGATGCCTGTGGTGGAACCGGCGTAGCCACCTCAGCTTTGCTAACCACCTGTTTCACTCTTGCCTCCCTAAGGTCTGTTCTCCGCAGGCAGCCAGAGGGATCCTTCTTACAGCCTGCTCAAAAGAACCATCACATTTCACCCAAATTTACAGTCTTCACGATAGCCCACAGGCACTTCCTGACCCCCCTCCACACACCTGCGTCTGACCCCTCTGACTCCTGCACCCACCCTCCCCTCCCCTTGCTTCTCTCCAGCCACACTGGTCTCCAGGCGCCTTGTCCTCATTGCCTCTGGATAGCCCTTCCTGCAGAGCCACGTGGCTCCTTCCCCCACTCATTTACATCTCTGCCAGCGTCCCCTCTTCAGAGAGGCCTCCCAGTCTCTGTCACTGTCCCAGTATCTTCACTTACCTTATTGCCTTTATTGTTGTTAGTTGCGGTGGAGTCGATCCCCACTCATGGCGACCCCGTGAGCGCAGAGTAGAACTGCTCTGTAGAGTTTTCAGAAGCAGATCACCAGGCCTGTCCTCACAGGAGCCTCTGGGTGGGTTCAAACCGCCCATCTTTCAGCCAGTAGTTGAGCCCTTAACCATTTGCGCCACCCAGGGACTCATCCATAGCCTTTCCTACTCTCCGACATTATCACATGCGTGTACTTATTTCTTTCTTTTCCTGGCTTCCCCACTGGAATGAAATATGCTGTGAGGGCCAGATTTGCAAAACGTGTTTCCCGCTGTAGCCCCAGAGCCTGGTACGGGTGCCCAGTCGATGTTTGCTGAATACATACATGGAAAGTGGGGTCTGTGGAGTTGATGGCTGAAGCCCCAGGAGGGGAAGGAAGTGCCACAGCGAATGTGCAGCCGGGTGGCACGGAGGCCCCGGTTGAGCCTGGTGCACAGCCACGCCAGGGCTGTGGAGCTGAGCGCCAGGAGCCAGCAGGAGGGCAGGAGGAGATCACCAGAGCAGATGTCTTGGAAGCCAAGGAAAGAGGCATTTCGAGAAGCCTTCTTTTTAAGATCCATTATTTCTAAGATTTGGTGACTATGATTCATCATTTCTTGGATTCTATGATTCAAAACAGCTTTTGCTGGTGGTGGAAGGAGTTGCTGGTGCTTGGGGAGTCCCCGCTACCTCTGCCTCCCCCTGCTCAGGGGCTGCAGACTCTGGATTAGACACACGTGTCAGAGTCAAATGTGCCGGGAGCGTTTCTTGTTCCTCACTTGATTTCACGTGGTGAAAAGTGCTCCCCTGCTTTGAGACTTTTCCTCAGTTGTTCTCAACCCTGAGGCAAGCTGTTTTGCAAAGCTGGGTGGTTGAACACCACTGTCACCATTTGTTGGTCAGAGAGTGGAGCTGCAAGGAGAGGTCCCATGCTTCCTGGGACAGGGAGCCAGAACCTAGAACTGAGGTCTCGTCTCAGCTCTGCCAATAAGTCACTGTGACCTTGGGCAGGCCACTTCCCCTCTCTGGCCTGTTTCGCCAGTGATTTTCAAGATCCCTTCTAGCTCTGATATTCTGAGGCTGTGCGACATGAGCAGAAGCTTTTCGAGGTGGGCTCTGGGGGATGAGGTTAGGAGGACAGAGTGGAGCCCAACCTCGAAGGCCTTGAGTGCCAGGAGGAGAGGCTGGCTGTTATGCTCTAGAAATAGGAAGCCGGAGAGTTTGGGAAGGATGGAATAGAGCAGGGTGGAGTGAAGAGGATGTGATGGAGGCCTGAGGATGACCTGGGAGGGGGGCCATCACTTCCATTCCGTTCAGCCCACCTTCATTAAGCGCCTGCTCGGGGCGGGGGGGGAAGACATGGCACTGGGAGCTGGAGAGGAAAATACAAGTCCCTGCAGCAAGGCTGTCCGCCGTCTCACGGCAGATGGACGAGCAGGGTGGGCTGGGCGGCCACTCTCTGAAGCCCTGTCTAGCTCTGAGGTTCTGAGAGGCTGTGCTGAATGGGGGGGACACTGGCAGTGGGGTACTGGGGCCTCCTCACCCTTGCTGTGGCCCAGAGCAGGTGGCTAACGAGTGCTGATGCCTGAACGAGAACACGTATGACCAGGGCAGGGAACTGGGAGCTGAGGGTGATGTGACAAATGAAGTCAAAAAGGTGTGGGGGACAACCAAACAGGGAAATAAGGCCTCATAGTCCACCTCGGGGGTGGGAAGACATGCGTCCATCTCAAAGATGATTCCAGAGGAACGCAACAGGCCGTGTCCCTGGATGACCCGCCAAGACAGGAATTCATTTCCCAGGGCTCCAAGGGGGGGCTCCAAAAGCCTGATGTCTGCTCACAAGACAACCTCAGAAAAAAAACAAACCAGAACACTAACCACAGCTGGCCCCTTCTTCTTCCTCTTCTTTTTTTCCCTCAATCTTATTAAAACACCAGAGAGATTAAGTAATGACTTGGCTCTGTTTATAGTTCCCAGTTACCCTCTCTGGGATTGGATGAAACTCCCGGGAGCCATGCTTAGAAAGGAATCATTCCCACCTTTCAAGCCTGGATTAGGGACAAGGGATTAGGGGTGAGTCTAGAACAGTCACAATGGGAACTTACAAATAGTAAGTGAGGAGAGGAGCTGAGAGTCTACTCTGGCCCTGCCCAGAGAGATGGGCAGAGGGTGTGTGGACTTGATGGACATGGCTGTTAACTTTTCCCAGGCACATTATGTGTATTTTCCGTCACTGCCTTCAGGAGCACAGGCCTCAAGGGGCAAGCAGAAAGGCTTCTTATGGGTGTCCAAAGGCAAAAGAAAACATACATTTTCCTATTTAATAATCAAAAGTATAATTCTTTATTAAAATCTGCAGAATAAGTTCATCAATTATTAGTATAAGCACGTGTCTTAGCTGGGAATTGCTTTTGGCTGTTAAAAAACCAGTTGTCGTCGAGTCAATCCCGACTCATGGTGACCTCATGTGTGTCAGAGCAGGACTGTGCTCCGTAGGGTTTTCAGTGGCTGATTTTTTGGAAGTAGATCACCAGGTCTTTCTTCCAAGGTGCTTCGGGGTGGACACAAACCTCCACCCTTGCAGTTAGCAGCTAAGCGTGTTCACTGTTTGCACCACACTTTTGGCTGCTAAGAGAAATCCAAAATAGCAGAGGCTTAAGTAAGATAAAGGTTTACATTTTCTCTAAATCAGCAGCCCAGAGGTGGGCAGCTCATGGTCATCAAGATCCCATGTTCCCTCTACCTGGGGCTCTGCCATGCTTAGCATTTGGCTTTCATCATCAGTGGGGTCTCATGGTTCAAGAAGGTTGCTCAAGAGCTAGCTCCTACGTCCACATTCCAGGCAGAATGAAATAAATTGGAGAAAAGGACAAAAGGGTCCTGGTTGAATGGGCACTTCTTTTTTTTTTTTTTTGAGCAGGGTGGGTACTTTATTCACATTTAGAATTGAGCTGTTTTCAAAAATTTTATTCTTTAAAGTAAAATTTTAATATTTGCATATGAGGTCTTAAAATATTTTTTCCTTTTTTTAGATTGTGCTTTAGATGAAGGTTTACAGAGCGAATTAGTTTCTCATTAAACAACACACATATTATTTTGTGACATTGGTTGCCAACCCCACAATGTGTTAACACTCCTTCTTGACTTAGGTTCCCTATCACCAGATTTCCTGTCCCCTCCTGCCTTCCAGTCCTTGCCCCTGGGCTGGTGTGCCTGTTTAGTCTCGTTTTGTTTTATGTGCCCATCTAATCTTGACTGGCTGAAAGACGAACCTCAGAAGTGACTTCAGTTCTGAGTTAAAACGGTGTCTGGGGCCATACTCTCAGGGTTTCACCAGTCTCTGTCAGACCAGTAAGTCTGGTCTTTTTTTGTGAGTTAGAATCCTGTTCTACCTTTTTCTACCACTCTGAGACCCTCTATTGTGATCCCTGTCAGAGCAGTCGGTGGTGGTAGCTGGGCACTATCCAGTTGTGCTGGACTCAAGTCTGGTGGAGGCTGTGGTAGTTGTGGTCCATTAATCTTTTGGACTAATCTTTCCCTTGTGTCTTTGGTTCTCTTCATTCTCCCTTGCTCCTGAAGGGGTGAGACCAGTGGAGTATCTTAGATGGCCATTCACAAGCTTTTAAGACCCCAGATGCTGCTCACCAAAGTAGGATGTAGAACATTTTCTTTATAAACTATGTTATGCCAGTTGAGCTAGATGTTTCCTGAGGCCATGGTCCCCAGCCCTCAGCCAAATAATTAGATCCTCAGGGAGTTTGGATGTGTCTTTGAAGCTTGCCTTTGTCAAGTTGTGCTGACTTCTGAATGGGCACGTTTTTAAGAGTTTTCCAGAAAACACCACCCAACGACTTCCACTGACATCTCATTGGCCACCCCAATGGTAAGAGAGGCTGGGAAATGGGGTTTGATGGCAGGGCCCAGTTGGTCTCCATAACATCATGGGACTTCTGTTAGTAAGAAAGGAGAAGAGAATGGAGATTGGGTAGAAAACTAGCCGTCCCTGCCACAACACACATTTTTAATTATTGTAATTGTAAAGGAAGATGCAAAGGAATGTATATAATAGGTATAAGTTTCATTTGATTTATTATGACCTTTCAAATATTCCTAGTTTCCGCTCAGTCAAAAGCAGCCTTCCCTCTAAGTTTCCCTGGAAAACAATCTTGTAAGTCACTTGAACCTCCTGAGGCTTGTATCTAGAAGATATTTCCAAAATATTTAACAGTTGGTACAGAATAAGCCTCAACAAGATGGACTGACACAGTGGCTGCAACAATAGGCTCAAGCACAAGAACGATTGTGAGGATGGCGAAGGACTGGGCAGTGTTCCGTTCTGTTGTACATAGAGTCGCTATGAGTCGGAACTGACTCAACGGCACCTAACAACAACACAGAATGAGCATCCTCCATTCCAGCTGTAGACGTCCAGGGTGAGTGGACAAACCATGGCACTCTGGGTGGCTGTGTGCCAGACATGTGCCCAGCAGTCACCAGGCACTAACTCTGGCTTCTGTGCTTCTGGTCGGCTTGACATCAGCAACCATTGCAGGCAGCTACCATTCCAGTGGCAGAAATCCATTTATAACTCATTGAAAGAAAAGCTTCAAATGAGCTTCTGAGGTCCTAGCTCCTGACCTCTGCTTCTTCTCTCCCTTGTAACAAAGTGGGAAATTATTGTCGGATCCCGACATACCCATGACCACTCTTCCCCAATTTCCTCCTCTGGTAGCTCATCCTAGGCCTTCTTCCTGCCGTATGTTTACACTGAACCTGCATTTTGTTGTTGTTAGCTGCTGTCTGGCTGGCCTCCAGCTCCTGGTGACCCCACGCACAACAGAACAAAACACAGCCTAGTCCTGCACCATCCCCATGATTGGTTGTGGATCAGACCATTGTGATCCATAGGGTTTTCATTGGCTGATTTTTGGAAGTAGATTACCAAGCCTTTCTTTCTAGTCTGTCTTAGTCTGGAAGTTCCGCTGAAACTTGTTGCACATCAAAGCAACACGCAGGCCGCCACTAACAGACGGGTGGTGGCTGTGCATGAAGTGAAGTCGCCAGGAATCAAACCCAGTTCTCTGGCATGGGAGGTGAGAATTCTACCACTGAACCTGCATTTTAGCAGCAATGAAAAAAATGATAGTTTCTGCTTTCCAACAATGGCTGTTGGGTGTAAAGTTTAAGAAATAATGCACACTCATGTCCACATCTATGACTCTATATATGTGTAAGTTAGTCTTGAAAGAGAAGAGATTTGCCAAGAACAAGAATGAGTGGGAAGGACAGGTCGATCCAAAAGAGGAGTGTCTTAGTCATCTAGTGCTGCTATAACAGAAGTACCACAAGTGTATGGCTTCAACAACAGAGGTTTATTCTCTCACAGTCTAGTAGGCTAGAAGTCTAAATTCAGGACGTCAGCTCCAGAGGAAGGCTTTCTCTCTCTGTCGGCTCTGGAGGAAGGTCCTTGTCATCAATCTTCCCTGGACTAGGAGCTTCTGAGTGTAGGGACCCGGGTCCAAACTACACACTCTTTTTCTGGCACTACTTTCTTGGTGGTATGAGGTCCCCCATGTCTCTCTGCTCACTTCTCTCTTTTATATCACAAAAGAGATTGGCTTAAAACACAATCTAATCTTGTAGATTGAGTCCTGCCTCATTAACATAACTGCAGCTAATCCCATCTCACTAACACCATGGAGATAGGATTTACACAACATAGGAAAATCACATCAGATAACAAAATGGCGGAGAGTCACACAATACTGGGAATCATGGCCAGATATTTTTTGACAGATATTTTTGTGGGACACAATTCAATCCATGACAAGGAGGCAGCATGAGTGTGAGGAATATGGCTGTTGAAGGACGTGTAAGCACGTGGACAACGATCTGTGTTAGCATCTCTGATCATTTCTTAGAATAGATTCCTAGAAGGGACATTATAAAGGAAAAGATACAAACGCTTCTAAGACTGTCAATATAAATGCTAATTGCTTCACAGAAAGGTTGTTGTCAGAAGCCCATGAAAGTGCCCATCTCACTGAACCTCCTCCAGCATGGTGTATCCTCACTTAAAAAGATGCCTTTCCAGTTCAATATTTTACTGATGAAGCTGAATCCTTTTTATTTTTGGTGAAAATATACACAAGAAAACAGACGCATGTTCAACATCTCTACACATACAGTTCATTGACAATAGTTACGTACTTCACGATGTGTCACCATCCTCGCTATTTCTGCCCCTATTGTTTCACTACCATTAATATGTACACTCTGCCCCTTAAAGTTCTCATCTGTGCTTTAGAGCTACTATTGTCATTTCAATCTTATGTAGGTAATTCTTCAGTAGGGTACAATGCTTATGGCAGACATTCTTTATTTATTGAGCTAAATTGTTGTTTAATTTAAAGATGACTTCATGGTATAGTTTGGGCTCCAGGTTCAAAAGTTGTTTCCAGGCAATATATTTTGGGGTCCTTCCAGCCTCAATGTGTCCAGTAAATCTGGTTTCCAGTAAGAATTTGAAGTTCCATTCCACAATTTCCCTCCTTTTGATCAAGATCCACCTACTGGATCCTTGATCAAAGTGTTCAGTAATGGTAGCTGGGCACCATCCATTTCTTCTGATCTCATGGCAAAGAAGGTAGTAGTTCATGGAGGCAGTTAGATCTGGGTCGTCTTCTTCCTCTGTTGCTCCAAGTGAGTACAGACCAAGTGTATCTTGGATGGCCACTGACAAAACGCTGAAGATTTTAAAAAGTTGTTTTGACATTTCTTCTTTTGTGTAGTGATTTGGGTATTCAGGTCTTACAATCATTTTTTTATTGGGGTGTTAATGTTTTTGGTGGTCTATTTATTTATGCAACAAATATTTACTGAATGCCTAGCATGTGCCAGACACTCTTTCAGGTGCTGGGGACACAGCAGTGAACAAAACAGATTTCCTCACCCTTAGGGAGCTGACATTTTTGTGGGAGGAGACAGACCATGAACATGTAAACAAGAAAAAGATTTGTAAAAGCTGTTTATAAATTTAGGATGATAAAACTTTGTCAGAGTTTCCTCAGTTCGTCATTTGCTTTCTAATTTTATTTGTATTGTACTCTATCTTAGAGAGCTTCTTAATTTTTATTATTATTTTTTTTTTTTAGCTTTTCATTTTTGGGATAATTTTAGATTTACGGAAAAGTTGCAGACATAGTACCAAGAATTCCCGCATACTCTCCACCCAGCTTCCCCTGATACTAGCATATTACATAACTATGGTCCGTTTGTCAAAACTAAAAAATTAAATTGGTGTGACACTATTAACTCAATTACAGACTTTATTAGGATTTCCAAGTTTTCCACTAATGTCATTTTTTTCTGTTCCGGGATTCAATCCAGCATACCACATTGCATTTAGGAAATTCTTTACTTTAATGTAGTAAGATCTATTAATTTCTATTGCTCAGTTTGTTCTTAGACAGTCCTTTCATATCCTGTGATCTGATAAAATATTAGCCTATATTTTCTCTTAGCTTTGTATGATTTAATTTTTTTATATTATTTCTTTCTTTAAACCATCTGGAATTTATTTTGGTGTGCAGCGTGAAAGAAGGTTCTAACTTTTATTTTTGCACATAGTTGCTCGGTTGTACAGTATGATGAATTCTTCCTTTCCTCACTGGTTTGTGAAACAACTTTGATCAAATATGAAATATTTGATGCACTAGGTTCTGTTTCTGGGCTACAAATTCTGTTACACTGATTTTTCTATTGATTGCTGTGTCAGTAAAACACTGTTTTGATAGTTACATCTTTATAGTATGTTCTAATATCTGGTAGGACAAGATCCCCTCCACCTTTAGCTTTCTAATAATAATATTAATAAGAATGATGATCCCAGTTATATGCCAGGTCCTGTGTTGGGCTCTACAGATAAGATATGAATGACAAAGTCTCTGCTTTCAAGGGGACCATCTATGGGGGAAGCAGACATGTCAGCCAGTAACCCCACTACAGCATAATGGAGTGAAGGTGAAGTCCAGGCGAGAGACCACAGAGTCTGCCTGGAGCAGTCAGGGAAGACTGGATAGAAGAAGTGATGCTTGGCCTCTGGTTTGACCTGTGCTTCATTTAAGTAGGAGTGTGCCAGGCAGAGACGCAGGAAGAGCAGTCCAGGCAGAAGGAGCAGTGTGGACAAAAGCATGGAGCTGGAAAAGTGCATGACATATTTAGGGAACTGTAAGCAGTTGGTGTTGGAACTTTAAGTACTGGAGGTGGGAGGTGGCCGGGGGTGCAGAGAGGCGGCACTGCAGAGGGAGGTGTGGCTGGTCATGGAAGCTCTCCACTGCCAAGGGAGGCCTTCAAATGACCGCAAGAGCCCCATCCCCGTTCCTGGGCTCTGGAATTCTTTAATTACTGACTCTCTTCCCAGAAACATGTTCCCAGCCAACCTGGTGGAGGCCACATTCCAACAGGTGAGTGGGTCCCGGGGCAATGAAGGGGAAGGGGCAGCTAGTGGGAGGGGTGGACAGACGGGGCCAGCCTGAAAGGAGACAGGTTTGCCCTGGAGGTTCCCAGGTTCTCCGCTGTTCTCTTACCCTGTTTCCTGAGAGCGCTGGGACCTAGATCCTTAGGGCCTCTTATGGCCATATTCCTGTCCTGGGTTCCAGTTTTTCATGAAGAAAAATTATGGAGGTGGAAGGAAGCCTTTACTGAGTGCCTGCTCTGTCCTAGGTTTCACACTGGTAACCACACATAGACCATCTCCCTCAGTCCTCACAATATCCCTACACTGAAGTGGTATCAGTCCCATTTTCTGGATGGGCAAACAGAGGCTCAGAGGGATTAAGTGATTTGCCCAAAGTTATCTCACCAGTTAATGTCAGAGCTAGTAGGTAAACCCAGGTCTCTTTCTTTTTAAATAATCCTTTTGTGATGTTGTAGTGAGTAGGCTTACACACATTATTTTGCAAACTTGTGAGTATCTGTATGTCCTTCTCCTTTTGGCAAACTCCTACTCATTGTGCAAGACCCAGATCAAATGTCCCCACCTATGCGAAGCTTCTCTGACTCCCTCAGAGTTCACTCCCTCTCACAGGTTTTCAGAGCAGAAATGATGTCTGGTTCATTTTTGTACCCCGAGTGCTTAGTACAGCACTCAGCACAGAGCACTCACCACTGAAATGATGATGATAGTGATAGCAGTAATGCTTACATAGGGCTTACTGTGTGGCAGGCTCTGTTGTAAGCATTTTACATATATTGTCTCTTTTAACCCAAGGAGGGAGATGCTATGATGATCCCCGTTGTACAGATGAGTAACTGAAGCACAGAAACTTCAGGTCTACACGTTTCCTGAGTGGTTCTTTTTTCCCTCGTCAGGAGGCTTGCCTTACTGATAATGTGGTATTTGGGAGAATAGGAGACTGCCTTGTTTGGGCTCCCAGTACCTGAGGAATGAGGGAGAGAGACCCAGGAATGCCCTGGGGGCAAAAGAGCCAGAGTAGGTGGCTCAGGGGCTCAGCTCTCCCAGCAAGGGCCTAACCTGCCCAAGAAGGCAGAGCTTTTTAAAACAGAAGGCCCGTGTTTCTGTCAGGTGGAAGGTGGGGCTGGCTGGCTGGCTGACTGGCTATTAGGTAGGTGGGTGATGAATGGCTGGAAGGGGATAAACAGCTGAATGGAAGATTATCTGGGAGCCCTGGTGGTGCAGTGGTTAAGAGCTCAGCTGCTAACCAAAAGGTCAGCAGTTCAAAACCACCAGCCACTCCTTGGAAACCCTGTGGGACAGTTCTACTCTATCCTGAAGAGTTGCTTTGTTTTTTTTCAGGATTATCCAGGGAGATGAGGAGATGGAAGGATGGTTAGAGAGGAACACAGATGCATGGAAAGACCAGGAGGGAAGCTAGGTAGTGTGTGGATGGAGGAAGGAATCTCAGTTTCCTTAGTGGTAAAATATTGATAATAATCCCGGGCCTGCCTGCCTCACAGGGTTATTGTGGGGTTCAAATAGGATAGGAGTGGATATGAATGTGCTTCCAAGAAATGTTGTTGCTGTTGTTGATATTAATAACAACACTTGGCTCTGACTGCTTTTCCTGGTTGGGGTGTCGCCCATCAGTACCGCACCAAGACCACCGCCATTGTCAAGTCCCCCAAGGTGGCACCAGAAGAGGCCACTCCTCGGCAGATCCTCATCTATGGGGTCCAGGAAGAGAACAGCTCTCACATGCAGAACTTTGCCCTGGACCTGACCCCACCGCCTGAGGTCATTTACAAGTCAGAGCCTGACACCAGTGATGGCATGAACGTCCTGGGCATCGTCATCTTCTCTGCCACCATGGGTATGTGCTGCCCCTACCCACCCCAGCAGGGTCCTGGAGCCCTCCCTCCTTCCCTCTGTCCCTCCACCCCTCCCTCCCTCCCTCCTCCTCTCCCTCCCTCCCTCCACCCCCGTACCCCTCCCTCCAATAATCTGAATAACCTGAGGCCTTCCAACCTGCTGGTCGGGTCATCCCTTCCTTTACTATCTGAATAGACTGTCTCAAGGCCCCATCCCATTCCCGAGGGATGTCCAAGCCTGCCCCTAAATTGGAGCTGGGTGTTCTCCCTCACCACCCTCACTTGGAACTCCCTGGGTGCTGGCTTGCCTCCAATGGGGTCGTCCATCCCTCCTTCCTGCGGCCTGTTCTCAAACCTTTTACTCAGGTCTGGGGATAATGGAAACAGGGGTTACAATAAAGAACAGGGAACAGCCAAAACTATTGGACATCACTGTTTATGTAAAGGCCTTGTGCCTCCCTCCCCAGCCGAGGAGGCTTGCTTCTCGCTGAAGCTCGCCATGAAAGAGCACCCACGAGCACAATTGCAAAGGTGGTAGGAGCCATGAAGGGAAGCCCAGGATCCCAAGGCGAGAAAAACAGGGGTCAGGGAAGCCTTTATTCATTCACTCACTTGTTCATTCATTCATTCGACAATCATCGTTGAGCGTCTACCATGTACCAGCTGAGGAGATACAGTTCTTGCTTTCACGGAGCTAACATTCTACTGGAGGCGACAGAAAAAACAGACAAATGGAAAACAACAGCTCTAAGTTGTAATAAGTAATATGAAGGAATGAGCAAAGGGTGAGATGAAGAAGAATGTCTGGGGAGCTTCTTTGGATGGAGGATAGAATAACCACGTGGGGGCAAAAGGGAGTGGAGACAGGCTTGTCTGAGACCTAAAGGCAGAGAAGGAGCCAACAAGTGGAGATGCAGCCAGTGCTGCAGGCAGGGGGTTCTGCATAGGCAAATGCCCTGGGGCAGTGAAGCGCTTCATGGATTCTAGCAACTTTAAGAAGGCCAGTGATGCTGGAGCATAGTGGGGAGGGGAGAGCAGGGCCAGATGGAGATAGGAGGGGGCCTGAAGCTAGGGAGCTTCGTTGAGGTCTAAGTGCACAGGGAAGTCAGCATGGGTGTTCAGCAGGGGAGCAGTTTTATTTTAAGATGACAGTTGCTCGGGTGTGTGGAATGGGTGAGAGAGGAGTGAGAGATGCAAGCCCTGTGGGGAGGTTGCTGCCCTGGTCCAGTGGCGGAGGACCAGGAGAAGGCGAGAAGAAAGTGGAAGGGAGGAACTGGTGCCTCCCAGGCTGCTGGGAATTCGGCCAGGGCTGAGGTCAGCCTCTGTGTGCGGGTCTGCTCCGGCCCTGCCTCCTGCGTGTGTCTGCACATGCAGGCACACGTGCCTGGCCTCTGCCAGGGGCATCTGGATGTGCTCATATGTCCCTGCCCCTGCAGGCATCATGCTGGGCCGCATGGGTGACAGTGGGACCCCACTGGTCAGCTTCTGCCAGTGCCTCAATGAGTCCGTCATGAAGATCGTGGCTGTGGCTGTGTGGTAAGCCTCATTGGGGAAGAGTCCTCTTTTACCCACTGCCTCCCACAAAGCAGGCCACGCCCTGGGAGGATGGAGGGACACCATGGCCTCATCCTCAGTTCTCCCGGGCAAAAGCTGCACACAAGGCTCAGCCCCGGGCCTGGGACCTCCAGAGCTGCCCATATTTCTCTGGATTCCCCAGCCCTACCCAGGCCCAGTCTCGGCCCTAGTCCTGCCTCTTCTGGCCCAGTCCAGTTATGGGCCCAGCCAGGCCCACTGGAGGAGAGCTAAGAGCTAAACCAGGCCCTGCTGCTCCCAGGGCCTATTTCCCCATCGCATGGAGCCTCATCAGCTCAGCTTTTGGAGAAAAGAAACCTTAGAAGCGAGAACCAACTTCCACTCCTTGGTTGAGAGCTCAGATTTCAGGAATCTTCTAGTCCAACCTTGCATAGTTCAAACGGGGAAATGCAAGGGCCTGCCAGGGTCACCTGCAGAGATGTGGCATTGCTGGGGCTGGGACATGGGCCTCCTGAAGGCAGGGGTGCTCTCGGAGGAGGAGTGGGAGCTTGTCTGGGGCTGGGGTGGTTAAGGGTAGTATTAATAATGCTGAATGCGTGACCCTAGGCTGGCACCTTTGTACATGGTGCCCTTCAGCTCTTTTGTGACCCCTGGGAGGCTCCAAAGGATGAGGCATGCAGTGATGCAGGGCCAGGCGAGGGGAGGCGTACCTGCCTGGCACCTGAGCCCTGGGCTGCCTTACCCACCCCAGGTACTTCCCCTTTGGCATTGTGTTCCTCATCGCTGGCAAGATCCTGGAGATGGACGACCCCACGGCCGTCAGGAAGAAGCTGGGCTTCTACACGGTCACTGTGGTGTGCGGGCTTGTGGTCCACGGCCTCTTCATCCTGCCCCTGCTCTACTTCTTCATCACCAAAAAGAACCCCATCATCTTCATCCGTGGCATCCTCCAAGCCCTGCTCATTGCGCTGGCTACCTCCTCCAGGTAGCCCTGGGCAGCGGGCAGGAGGGGGAGGTGGTGGCTGAACTCTGCCCATCCAGCCAGGTATCATGTGTCCGTAGTCTTAGAGCCACAGAAGGTGCCAGTCTGGCCCCTCCACAAGCTTGGAGTAGCTATGGTAACAAGACCTCTTTTGAAATTTGTCATTCAAGGCCCCACCTACCCAAGTAGCAGAAAGCCCTTATCTTTTCTTGAGGCCATCTCCACCCTCAAATGCCCACAATCCCTAAAGTTTACCCAATCAAATGAGCTCGCCTTCCACACATCAGAGGAAGAGAGAATGCAGTAGGACGAATCTACAGTTGCTCTTGCCTCTCACCGCCACACGGTGCCGCTATTGGAGACGCC